TTGCCTTGGGGGGGGGGGGCAGTGGCGCGGGAGCCGGGGGGGGGGGCTAGGGGGTGCTGAGCCCCTCCAACTTTTCGGCTGGGAAGGGGGGCTCGTAAGGTATTTGAGCCCCTCCAACTGGAGGGATCGAAATCGGAAATATACCAACATAATTTCATAGATTCATACATAGGCGCGGGAACCGGGGGCAGTGGGGCAGCTAGCCCCCACAACTCTGGGGCCGTGGGGGCGGTGCCCCACAACTTTTCATAAGGTCAGGAACCGTTGGGGCAGCTTGTCCTCCCCAAATTAGGGGTTGTGGGTCACAAAGGAAGAAAGCATTTAAGTGAAAAATCCAATCACATTAAACGCATGACATTATCTTATAGTTAACTCCGTAACGTTGTCAGCATCGTGTGCTTCATTCAACTCAGTGTTGGCTGCCTAATTATTGGCCGGCCGCCTCTCTCTCTCTCTCTCTCTCTCTCTCTCTCTCTCTCTCTCTCTCTCTCTCTCTCTCTCTCTCTCTCTCTCTCTCTCTCTCTCTCTCTCTCTCTCTCTCTCTCTCCCCTCCCTCCCCTCCCCTCCCCTCCCTCCCCTATGTCCTATTCACCGATCCTCACTGCTCGCTCGGGCCGCGTAGAGTGAGGCTCTGCCGACTCGCTCTGACCGCCCGCCGGTGACGTCACGGCCCCTCCGGCAAGGTCAGGTCAGGCCACCGCTCGCTAGTGCCGGCCGGACTTGTCGGTCCGAAGCCATACTAGCTCCGGAACGCTACGGCAAAGACTGGTTAACCGGAATAGAGCCATATCGACCCAAACTCTTATTCCGACGGCGTTCCGTTTACACCGGCCCAAATCTGGCGTGCCGGAGTCGCTAGGGCAAAACGGACTTGAGCCAAACCAATTGCTGGCTGGGAAACTTCCTTTAGTATTTTATGTTAGCTAATAGCTATCAATATTTGACAGGGCGCATAGCTGGATCATATGGGAAGAGGATGCTGCTTGCTGCTCTCCACTCCCGTGGCAGACATAAAGGCGCGCAGCGTCACTCACGTAAAAATGGACGAGGTAAGACGTGACTATGGTGCCTACATTTGTGTTGTTACCAGTTACTCAGTCCACCCAAATCTACTTGTATCTATGCTAATCAACACATCATAATTCAATCGTTTTTCTGGTTTTTCTTTAGACATTGTTCTTTTTTTGGCTCACTACCTGATCCTACATTTTAAAATCACTCGCCGAATCACTGGTGATGGTTAAAAAATCAAGACAGCATTCATCCTCCTACCGCCATGCTTCCTTATGCGTTGCCATATCTTTTCTTTCCAGAAGTCCTCCCTTCATCTCCTGGGTCAGCCGGCCGCGTGGATGAAACCCCTCCTCACACCACTGAGTATCATGTATACCACAAATATCCTGGACTTGACTTGACTATGACGACTCATGGGCTGCGACCGGCTACCCATGCGATGGACGGAGCTCCGCCGCCCGTCCTGACCCCGGACGCTAGAAGGTGGGATGCTCATCATCTGCGTGAGACTTCTGAGACTGCGACCGGAGCCCCGCCGCCCGTCCCGACCTCTGACGCTAGAAGGTTGGATGCTCATCATCTGCGTGAGACTTCTGAGACTGCGGCCAGAGCCCCGCCGCCCGTCCCGACCTATGACGCTAGAACGTGGGATGCTCATCTGCGTGAGACTTCTGAGACTGTGGCCAGAGCCCCACCGCCCGTCCCGACCTCTGACGCTGGAAGGTGGGATGCTCTTCATCTGCGTGAGACTTCTGAGACTGCGACCGGAGCCCCGCCGCCCGTCCCGACCCCGGACGCTAGAAGGTGGGATGCTCTTCATCTGCGTGAGACTTCTGAGACTGCGACCGGAGGCCCGCCGCCCGTCCCGACCCCGGACGCTGGAAGGTGGGATGCTCTTCATCTGCGTGAGACTTCTGAGACTGCGGCCAGAGCCCCGCCGCCCGTCCCGACCTCTGACGCTAGAACGTGGGATGCTCATCTGCGTGAGGCTTCTGAGACTGCGGCCAGAGCCCCGCCGCCCGTCCCGACCTCTGACGCTGGAAGATGGGATGCTCTTCATCTGCGTGAGACTTCTGAGACTGCGACCGGAGCCCCGCCGCCCGTCCCGACCCCGGACGCTGGAAGGTGGGATGCTCTTCATCTGCGTGAGACTTCTGAGACTGCGACCGGAGGCCCGCCGCCCGTCCCGACCCCGGACGCTAGAAGGTGGGATGCTCATCATCTGCGTGAGACTTCTGAGACTGCGGCCAGAGCCCCGCCGCCCGTCCCGACCTCTGACGCTGGAAGGTGGGATGCTCTTCATCTGCGTGAGACTTCTGAGACTGCGACCGGAGCCCCGCCGCCCGTCCCGACCCCGGACGCTGGAAGGTGGGATGCTCTTCATCTGTGTGAGACTTCTGAGACTGCGGCCAGAGCCCCGCCGCCCGTCCCGACCCCGGACGCTAGAAGATGGGATGCTCATCATCTGCGTGAGACTTCTGAGACTGCGACCGGAGGCCCGCCGCCCGTCCCGACCCCGGACGCTAGAAGATGGGATGCTCATCATCTGCGTGAGACTTCTGAGACTGCGACCGGAGGCCCGCCGCCCGTCCCGACCCCGGACGCTGGAAGGTGGGATGCTCTTCATCTGCGTGAGACTTCTGAGACTGCGACCGGAGGCCCGCCGCCCGTCCCGACCCCGGACGCTAGAAGATGGGATGCTCATCATCTGCGTGAGACTTCTGAGACTGCGACCGGAGGCCCGCCGCCCGTCCCGACCTCTGACGCTGGAAGGTGGGATGCTCTTCATCTGCGTGAGACTTCTGAGACTGCGACCGGAGGCCCGCCGCCCGTCCCGACCCCGGACGCTAGAAGGTGGGATGCTCTTCATCTGCGTGAGACTTCTGAGACTGCGACCGGAGGCCCGCCGCCCGTCCCGACCCCGGACGCTGGAAGGTGGGATGCTCTTCATCTGCGTGAGACTTCTGAGACTGCGACCGGAGGCCCGCCGCCCGTCCCGACCCCGGACGCTAGAAGGTTGGATGCTCATCATCTGCGTGAGACTTCTGAGACTGCGGCCAGAGCCCCGCCGCCCGTCCCGACCTCTGACGCTAGAACGTGGGATGCTCATCTGCGTGAGACTTCTGAGACTGCGGCCAGAGCCCCACCGCCCGTCCCGACCTCTGACGCTGGAAGGTGGGATGCTCTTCTGCGTGAGACTTCTGAGACTGCGACCGGAGCCCCGCCGCCCGTCCCGACCTCTGACGCTGGAAGGTGGGATGCTCTTCATCTGCGTGAGACTTCTGAGACTGCGACCGGAGGCCCGCCGCCCGTCCCGACCCCGGACGCTAGAAGGTGGGATGCTCTTCATCTGCGTGAGACTTCTGAGACTGCGACCGGAGGCCCGCCGCCCGTCCCGACCCCGGACGCTGGAAGGTGGGATGCTCTTCATCTGCGTGAGACTTCTGAGACTGCGACCGGAGGCCCGCCGCCCGTCCCGACCCCGGACGCTGGAAGGTGGGATGCTCTTCATCTGCGTGAGACTTCTGAGACTGCGACCGGAGGCCCGCCGCCCGTCCCGACCCCGGACGCTAGAAGGTTGGATGCTCATCATCTGCGTGAGACTTCTGAGACTGCGGCCAGAGCCCCGCCGCCCGTCCCGACCTCTGACGCTAGAACGTGGGATGCTCATCTGCGTGAGACTTCTGAGACTGCGGCCAGAGCCCCGCCGCCCGTCCCGACCCCGGTCGCTGGAAGGTGGGATGCTCTTCATCTGCGTGAGACTTCTGAGACTGCGACCGGAGGCCCGCCGCCCGTCCCGACCCCGGACGCTAGAAGGTTGGATGCTCATCATCTGCGTGAGACTTCTGAGACTGCGGCCAGAGCCCCGCCGCCCGTCCCGACCTCTGACGCTAGAACGTGGGATGCTCATCTGCGTGAGACTTCTGAGACTGCGGCCAGAGCCCCGCCGCCCGTCCCGACCCCGGTCGCTGGAAGGTGGGATGCTCATCATCTGCGTGAGACTTCTGAGACTGCGGCCAGAGCCCCGCCGCCCGTCCCGACCTCTGACGCTAGAACGTGGGATGCTCATCTGCGTGAGACTTCTGAGACTGCGGCCAGAGCCCCGCCGCCCGTCCCGACCCCGGACGCTAGAAGGTGGGATGCTCATCATCTGCGTGAGGCTTCTGAGACTGCGGCCAGAGCCCCGCCGCCCGTCCCGACCTCTGACGCTGGAAGATGGGATGCTCTTCATCTGCGTGAGACTTCTGAGACTGCGACCGAAGCCCCGCCGCCCGTCCCGACCCCGGACGCTGGAAGGTGGGATGCTCTTCATCTGCGTGAGACTTCTGAGACTGCGACCGGAGCCCCGCCGCCCGTCCCGACCTCTGACGCTAGAACGTGGGATGCTCATCTGCGTGAGACTTCTGAGACTGCGGCCAGAGCCCCGCCGCCCGTCCCGACCTCTGACGCTGGAAGGTGGGATGCTCTTCATCTGCGTAAGACTTCTGAGACTGCGACCGGAGGCCCGCCGCCCGTCCCGACCCCGGACGCTGGAAGATGGGATGCTCATCATCTGCGTGAGACTTCTGAGACTGCGACCGGAGGCCCGCCGCCCGTCCCGACCCCGGACGCTGGAAGGTGGGATGCTCATCATCTGCGTGAGACTTCTGAGACTGCGGCCAGAGCCCCGCCGCCCGTCCCGACCTCTGACGCTGGAAGGTGGGATGCTCTTCATCTGCGTGAGACTTCTGAGACTGCGACCGGAGCCCCGCCGCCCGTCCCGACCCCGGACGCTGGAAGGTGGGATGTTCTTCATCTGCGTGAGACTTCTGAGACTGCGACCGGAGGCCCGCCGCCCGTCCCGACCCCGGACGCTAGAAGGTGGGATGCTCTTCATCTGCGTGAGACTTCTGAGACTGCGACCGGAGCCCCGCCGCCCGTCCCGACCCCGGACGCTGGAAGGTGGGATGCTCTTTATCTGCGTGAGACTTCTGAGACTGCGACCGGAGGCCCGCCGCCCGTCCCGACCGCGGACGCTAGAAGGTGGGGTGCTCATCATCTGCGTGAGACTTCTGAGACTGCGGCCAGAGCCCCGCCGCCCGTCCCGACCTCTGAAGCGGGAAGGCGGGCTGATGCCCGTCATCTGCGTGCGACTTCCGAGACTGCGGCTGGAGGCCTGCCGCCCGTCCCGACCCCGGACGCTAGAAGATGGGATGCTCTTCATCTGTGTACAACTACTGGGGCGACGGTTGGAGCCCCGTCTCGTGTTTCCCCACCTACCTCTGAGACGGGAGTTTGTGGGTCAGTAAAAACCTCTTATTCAACAGCACTGCCAACTGAACTGATCGACATGACGCCGTTCTCTGCAAGCGAGTACGACCTTATGTCACCCACCTGCTCTACTTCGAGGGCTTCAGTCCAGGATGCAGGGGACCATGGCACATGGACTTTTCCTGAGCACTTGATGTGCAATCAAACAGAGATCACGGCTCCCGAGAACCACCATTTGGAGGAGAACGAATACGGAGAACAGGGAGCTGAGTCTGATGTCAGCGACGGTGTTGAGGTGGCTCCGCCCCAGCACAGTTCTCAGTCGCGTACATCTCAGTCGGCGAGGAACGGCGCATCGTGCGGCGAAGTGCGGAAAAAAAATGTTTGCATATATTGCAAGCAAAAGAGAAATCTGATATGGCGCCATATCAAGACGGTCCACCGTGACGAGAAGGAAGTCAAGGATATACAGGAGTGTGATTCTGAGCAGGAACGAAAAATGAAAATCACCGTGATGATCAACAAAGGCAACATGGAGCACAACAAACTCGTCCTACAAAGGGGTGAAGGTGACATGATCTTGGGAAGGAAGTCGGACCAGGCGTCCGTGGACGACTACGTGCCATGTCCTTACTGCTATCTTTTTGTGGTTAAAACCAACATGATGCAGCACATAAAACATCACTGTGTGGCTCGCAAAACAGAATGCCCAGACATTCCCACGGTGCTGGCAGAGAGCCGGACGCTCCTGAGTGACGGCCAAGAAGAAAATACTGGGTATCACAAGGACATATTGTCTCGTATGCACGACGATGCAGTTACGAAGACCATAAAGAACGATGAACTCCTGAAGAAGTGGGGTGCCAACTTGCACGCGAAACTTGGAAGGTCGGGTTTTGCGCAGATAAGCCAGCGCCTAAGGATGATGGGCGAAGTTGTCCAAGCAGCCGGAAAGAGCATGCAAGAGCTGATCAATGGCGAAGGATTTGATACGGTTGTAAGTGCCACCAAATCCGTCTGTGGGTTTGAGCAGGACAAGCTAAACGCCCACACGGGGCTGCCCACATACAAAACTCCTTCAAAGGCCATGCGGATTGGAGGCGAACTACGACAGCTGGCTGCTCTCAAGAAGGGCATTGCGCTGATCAAGAAAGAAGAAAGCGAAGTGAAAGATGCTGAGGCGTTCTTGTATCACGTGGACCAATTCTGGAATGTGAAGATCAGCAGCGTAGCGCTGAAGAACCGCGAGTCGAACAAGTATGACAAGAAAGACATGCTGCCCTTTACCAGCGATTTGAAGCTTTTCACCGAAAAAATGAAGGAACGAGTGAAAGAAATGACAGAAAAGGGAATACATGGCATGACAGACTATGCAAGGCTGAGCAAAGCGGTTCTCGCCCGTTTGCTAGTATTCAACAAACGCCGTCCTAAGGAGCTTAGCAGCATCCTGCTGCAATCATGGATCAACCGAGAGATGTACAAACAAGAGACGGTAGAAGAAGTGAACAAGTCAATGGGTGAAACAGAAAAGAAGTTGTTCAACGAGCTCGACGTCGTCATGTCCCGCGGCAAGTGCGGGAACAAGGTCCCCACCCTGATACCGAGCGACTGCGCGGCTCCGCTGCAGCTACTGGTAGACAACCGGGAGACGTACATTGACAAGGATAACAAGTATCTGTTCGCAAACCCTCTGGCGAGGACTACAGGACACTACAACGCAGGCGTGGTGCTTAAAGAGCAGTTGTCGGACATGGCACTAAACAGGGCAGATCTCTTCCATGCAACAAAACTACGGAAATATTGTGCTACAACGTCCCAGATTCTAGAGATGGGTGAATTCGATATGGAGGTGCTCACCCGGCACATGGGACATGACAAAGACGTGCATCGTGGGTACTACAGACTGTCAGACGCTACTCACGAACTGACGCGTGCCTCCATCCTGATGATGAAGCTGGACGAAGGATGCCTCTCAAAATATAGCGGACGGAGCCTGGAGGAGATGCTCACTGAAGGTAACTAATCGTTTGTACATGTGCTAATCGTAACATCACCATTCGTCTGTCATTTTAGCAGACATTTCATGCAGTTAAAGCATTAATTTGCAATGTAGTGTTAAAGAGGCAATGCAATAACACCATGAAGAGAATCGTACAGAGCGAAGGCAATGTAAGACCGTTAAAGTTCACTGGTACTACTAGGTTATATGCAGACCCATGGTGCTGTACTTCAGATTAAGGACGAGCGCGGATAGCCAAAGCAGTCCGGGTACCACCGTAGCACATATGTTCCGTTCAGCGTTTTTTTTTTCAGAAATGCTTGCCCATTATGGCAGGCACTTATTTTGCATCACACATATTCTTAAATCTGACAGAGACGGTTTTTCAGAGGACTTCGACGAGCCAGGCTCTGAAAATGAGGGCGGTCCGGCTGATGATCGCCAAGAGGACGATGAAGGAGGTGAGGCGCATTCACTACATCTATAGCGTGTTCCATGTCAAGCTTGCGGCTGAAGTGCTCTGTTGAAGGCAGTGCGTGATTTCTGTGCATACATCTTACATTCTAAGACTCAAATTATTGAATGGAGTAGCGCGCTCAGCGAATTGCCTGGAACTGCCAAGGGGACTCCGACCGCAAGCTTGATATGGAACAGACTATAGTCCGGCCTGAAGTTTTATAGTGGGAGGGCAATTGCATAGGTGAGTTCATATGCATTTATTGAAGCACTGCGATCGATGCAGGATAATAAGCGTATCGCTCAATAACTGCATTGTCCATGCGAGAATGCCTTTACTCACGTCCGTCTGAGGAGGGAGGGAATCCGACCCATGGGCGATTTTTTTTTTTTTGCAATAGCAGCTCGATGGCGGCGTGAAGCGCCGCCCGCCACCCAACCTCGTCTACCCTCGGCCTCGTTTGCAATTTTGCTAAATCTGTTACATATGAAATGTCATATGCAAAAAAGTATTTAAGCAACACTCACTGCGTCTCCTTTGGTGAAATCTTGAGCTTAACGTATTGAGACAAAATATTTTGATAAAGCTCGATAGGGCTTGTTCTAAGTTATCGAATGCTATCTTAATTGTTCTAGCTTTTATGTTTTTTTTCGAGACACGTAGCGTTTCGTGCTGAAAAGCGCCATTTTTATTTTTAATGCTGGCTTTTATCATGCAAACCCTCTAAATATTGATGTAGTTAGGGAGCGAGGACTCATGAGCCCCTTTCCCATGAAAATTTGCTGTTTTTAGTTCCATGGGAGCGAAACGTAAGTGGGGTCGTATCAAGCCCCCCCCCCCCTCCTCAGTCGTTCTTGTTCGGGGTGGCAAAAAAAAAGCAGTAGACAGGTGCAGGTTTAGGGGACGTCGTGCTAACGAAACGACAAACTCAAAATCTTTAACAAGACATGAAGCGAAAAGATCTTTTTGGCCGGAGGAATCCAGAGCGTCGTAAGCCTCGTCGTAACTGCGACGTGTCGCAAGTTGTGTAGTAAGTCGTTTTTGGAGGGATCAATCGATGAGTAGCGTTACTTAAGTAGTAAAGCCTGTCGCAAGTTGCCTGATTTGCGACACAACTTACGAATTTGAAATAGCAGTCGTAAGTTGTGTCGTAAGCTAACCTTGCTTTGAGGAAGAGGTCACAGGTCACAGGTCATTCGGGCCATGGTCACGAAATTTACATGGTTAGTGTAAAATTGTTTGAACTTGAGTTAAAATTTGGTTACAATCCGTTGACGCTAACGCGAGTTATAGAGCTTGAACCGACGGATCATCTGTGAGGCCTCAATCCGTGCCAGCGAGTGTTAAAAATGGTGCATAATATGTTATATTCAAATTCATTGGGGTATTCAGGGATACAAAGCAGCCTTATATCATTCCAGCAACTACTGGCGAGTCCAGAAAGGCGATCTTGGACGTTGCGAGGGGCATCCCCCAAAAGATTCTCCCAATTCCAAAAACGACGTGTCTCAGATGGCCCCCATGACTCCAATTTAGCTCTGTGATGACCCCAGTTGACCTCTGTGATCTGCCGTGTCTCAGATGACCTCCGTGACCTCCCATTGAGCTCTCTCATTACTCCGAGCTGACCTCTGTGACCTGACGTGTCTCAGATGACTTCCGAGTTTTGTGATGACCCCAAGTTGACCTCTGTGACCTGACGAGTCCTATATGACCTCCAATTGAGCTCTCTCATGACTCCGAGCTGACCTCTGTGACCTGACGTGTCCCAATTGAGCTCTGTGATGAGCCCAAGCTGACCTCTGTGACCAGACGTGTCCCAGATGATCTCAAATTGAGCTCTGTGATGACCCCAAGTTGACCTCTCTGACCTGACGTGTCCCAGATGACCTCTATGACCTCTAAGTGACCTCTGATAACCCCAAGCTGACCTCTGTGACCTGACGTGTCCCAGCTGATCTCAAATTGAGGTCTCTGATGACCCCAAGTTGACCTCTGTGACCTGAAGTGTCCCCAGATGGCCTACAATTGAGCCCTGTGGTGACCTCAAGTTGACCTCTGTGACCTGACGTGTCTCATATGACCCCCATGACCTCCAATAGAGCTCTGTGATAACCCCCAAGTTGACCTCTGTGACCTGACGTATCTCAGATGACCCATATGACCTCCAATTGAGCTCTGTGATGACCCCAAGTTGACCTCTGTGACTTGACGTGTCCCAGATGACCTCCGTGACCTCCAATTGAGCTCTTTGATGACCCCAAGCTGACTCTTGTGACCTGACGTGTCCCAGTTGACCTCCAATTGAGCTCTGTGATGACCCAAAGTTAACCTCTGTGACCTGACGTGTCCCCAAGTTGACTTCTGTGACCTGACGTGTCCCAGATGACCTCTGTAACCTCCAATTGTGACCTCCAACTTCAACTCTCTTACCTCTCTGTGACTTCAAACTCTCTGAACTCATTTCTTCTAAAGCATAGCTTCTAGATGCTCTTTAGCCACGAATCTCCTGTGATCGACCCCAAATTTTATGGCAAATTATGTGAGCGTTAGCGATCACAAGTCACCCAGTTGAGACAAAGCTTCAGAATCAGAGAACATGCTTGACCTGGCTGTCTCATAAGCTCTCAAACCAGAAAGGCGAATGTTCCGTTATGCGTGATAGAGTTTTCGACCTTACTGACGTTTACTACGGGATCAGCTGATCGTGTAGCCTTTTAAATTCTCGAGTAAAGCGGGTATTTAAGCCTCGTCGTAGCTACGTTCTGTCGTATCCTCCGACAAACCCCTCTTTCCTCAACATCCCTCCTTTTTCGCTACGACACAACTTGCGACGGGACATGTGTCGTAACTTGCGACGTGTCGTAGATGGACTTGCGACGCCCCGGCCAAATTTATGTTCTCATGCATAACCATGTAATGTTAACAGAATTACATGGTTAAGTGGTTCTATTCCTAATGTTAACTATATTTTTTAATGTCCACAGGCCATGAACAGCGGAAGAAGGACCGCAAAAAAAGTAAGTGAAAGGTTTGGCGCCTTACATCGCCTGCATCAGCTTTACGTGTTGCATTATTTTCATAAACGTATTGAAATTTCCTGCATTAAATACCCTCTTTGTTAAATTTGTATACCTTTTTATATGCAAAGAAACAATAAATGTTGATGGTTTGCCCCTCCCGATTTTTTAGACTCGCTAGTAGAGGCACCTATGTATCTTGCGGCAATGGCTAACAAACAAAGAAAACGGCAGACAAGGAAGCATGAAGCACCAAGTCCAACACATTCTGCCGTCCAAAGTCAAAACCCCACATGTCAATTTTGGGTCATTTTTCGTTTTTTACACCATTGTGACCAGCTTGCAAAGCTCTATTTCATGCCATGAGGATTTTTTTCAAAAACCAAAAAAAGCTTTTTGGGAGAGGAAAAACAAATTTTGGAATTCACACGTCTTTGAAAAGCACGGAAGTGACACAGTCAAAACCCACTACGTCGGCGAAAACCCACACGTCATGGCTAACCTATGTGCCAGTGACAAAATCCACGTCGGTAAACCCATAGACGTTCTTGCAGATTATGAAATGCTTGCAACGTCAAAACCCAATACGTCGCTACACTACACAAGGACGACGTGAGGGCTTTTGACATGTGGTTATATGCTGTCTGCATTGAGTTTATCCTGTTCGGTCGCGAGGACGTATGGGTTTTTGCCGTCTTTGAAGCATCTTTAAAGCCGTATCAATGGACATCAGTATCAAATGGACGATTTGAGATACGGAGAGTGGCACGACATGCCTATAGCAAGTCTCACGGTGTTGCCGAATTCCGAAATGACAGCAGGGGACGAGTTTTGCTGAAGTGGAAAGGATGACGTCACTCAGTTGCTGGAGAGCTGAGGGCTGTTCACGGGCCCTGTGTGCGGTCGGACCGCACACAGCCTCCAAGCTCCGCCCACTGCGTCCCTACGTCAGCCTTCCGTCACCGCACACAGCGACCGCTGTGGCCGGTCGGGACTGGCCACAGCGGATCGTTCACCGCACGCAGCCGTGACGTCAGAGCCGCCTACCCATCCCCTACCCCCACGCCTGCTGGACGCACCGCACACACCGCACGCAGCAGTGTGCGGTGCCCGTGAACACCCCTCAGGGTCCTTTACAGCTGCCTCTCGAACCTTCTTCTCCGTTAGCGGTGATAGGTGTTCGCCCTGACGCAGATGACGACCTTTTCCTCATCGGCTTCTTCTACGGGCCCTGTAGTGGACAGCCGCTGGCGTGACAGTGCGTCACGACAGGTGATCTGCTGGCAGGGGCGCTCGTCACTTCGTAGACGTACGGTAGCATTCGAGCCTACCACCTAGCAACAGGTGCTCCCGCCCAGTCTGAGAACTTAGGGCGAGGAGCGTGTTCATCCGGACTGGCCCAGTCCGAGTGTTAACGTCGCCCTCAGAGGTAACGTTCCACCGCTCCATTGCTTGCAC